TTGTCAGAAAAATTAAAAAAAACAATTAATTTTTCCAATTTTGTGGACGCCATATTTCCCTTGAACACCACATATGGCCTGAGAAATTTTGGGAATGCGTTCTAAGGGCCATCAGGCATCTTCCTAGCAATTTTCAAGCAATTTCATATTTTGGCCAAAATTGAAAAAAATGTAAGGGGTTAGCCTTACTTTTTTATCAAATTTTGGTCAAAAATTGACTTTTCTGGAAACGACCTAGAAACACTTTAGGAGGCATGATTAGCATATTTTCATCATTCTAAAGTGATAATTTTGAAAATTTGGGCAAATATAAAGGATTTTTGTCAGAAAAATTAAAAAAACAATTAATTTTTCCAATTTTCTGGACGCCATATTTCCCTTGAACACCACATATGGCCTGAGAAATTGTGGGAATGTGTTGTAAGGGCCATCAGGCATCTTCCTAGCAATTTTCAAGCAATTTCATATTTTGGCCAAAATTGAAAAAAATGCAAGGGGTTAGCCTTACTTTTTTATCAAATTTTGGTCAAAAATTGACTTTTCTGGAAACGACCTAGAAACACGTTAGGAGAAATGATAGGAATATTTTCATCATTCTTAAGTGAAAATTTTGAAAATTTGGGCAAATATGAAGGATTTTTGTCAGAAAAATTAAAAAAACAATTAATTTTTCCAATTTTGGGGACGCCATATTTCCCTTGAACACCACATATGGCCTGAGAAATTTTGGGAAATGCGTTCTAAGGGCCATCAGGCATCTTCCTAGCAATTTTAAAGCAATTTCATATTTTGGCCAAAATTGAAAAAAATTTAAGGGGTTAGCATTACTTTTTTATCAAATTTTGGTCAAAAATTGACTTTTCTGGAAACGACCTAGAAACACTTAAGGGCAAATTTGGGCAAATATAAAGGATTTTTGTCAGAAAAATTAAAAAAACAATTAATTTTTCCAATTCTGTGGACGCCATATTTCCCTTGAACACCACATATGGCCTGAGAAATTTTGGGAATGTGTTGTAAGGGCCATCAGGCATCTTCCTAGCAATTTTCAAGCAATTTCATATTTTGGCCAAAATTGAAAAAAAATGTAAGGGGTTAGCCTTACTTTTTTATCAAATTTTGGTCAAAAATTGACTTTTCTGGAAACGATCTAGAAACACTTTAGGAGGCATGATTAGCATATTTTCATCATTCTAAAGTGATAATTTTGAAAATTTGGGCAAATATGAAGGATTTTTGTCAGAAAAATTAAAAAAACAATTAATTTTTCCAATTTTGTGGACGCCATATTTCCCTTGAACACCACATATGGCCTGAGAAATTTTGGGAATGCGTTCTAAGGGCCATCAGGCATCTTCCTAGCAATTTTAAAGCAATTTCATATTTTGGCCAAAATTGAAAAAAAATGCAAGGGGTAAGCCTTACTTTTTTATCAAATTTTGGTCATAAATTGACTTTTCTGGAAACGACCTAGAAACACGTTAGGAGAAATGATTAGCATATTTTCATCATTCTTAATTGAAAATTTTGAAAATTTGGGCAAATATAAAGGATTTTTGTCAGAAAAATTAAAAAAACAATTAATTTTTCCAATCTTGTGGACGCCATATTTCCCTTCAACACCACATATGGCCTGAGAAATTTTGGGAATGTGTTGTAAGGGCCATCAGGCATCTTCCTAGCAATTTTCAAGCAATTTCATATTTTGGCCAAAATTGAAAAAAATGCAAGGGGTTAGCCTTACTTTTTTATCAAATTTTGGTCAAAAATTGACTTTTCTGGAAACGACCTAGAAACACTTTAGGAGGCATGATTAGCATATTTCATCATTCTAAAGTGACAATTTTGAAAATTTGGGCAAATATGAAGGATTTTTGTCAGAAAAATTAAAAAAAAAAAATTAATTTTTCGAATTTTGTGGACGCCATATTTCCCTTGAACACCACATATGGCCTGAGAAATTTTGGTAATGCGTTCTAAGGGCCATCAGGCATCTTCCTAGCAATTTTCAAGCAATTTCATATTTTGGCCAAAATTGAAAAAAATGTAAGGGGTTAGCCTTACTTTTTTATCAAATTTTGGTCAAAAATTGACTTTTCTGGAAACGATCTAGAAACACTTTAGGAGGCATGATTAGCATATTTTCATCATTCTAAAGTGATAATTTTGAAAATGTGGGCAAATATTAAGGATTTTTGTCAGAAAAATTTAAAAAACAATTAATTTTTCCAATTTTGTGGACGCCATATTTCCCTTGAACACCACATATGGCCTGAGAAATTTTGGGAATGCGTTCTAAGGGCCATCAGGCATCTTCCTAGCAATTTTCAAGCAATTTCATATTTTGGCCAAAATTGAAAAAAAAATGCAAGGGGTTAGCCTTACTTTTTTATCAAATTTTGGTCAAAAATTGACTTTTCTGGAAACGACTTAGAAACACTTTAGGAGGCATGATTAGCAGATTTTCATCATTCTAAAGTGAAAATTATGAAAATTTGGGCAAATATAAAGGATTTTTGTCAGAAAAATTAAAAAAACAATTAATTTTTCCAATTTTGTGGACGCCAAATTTCCCTTCAACACCACATATGGCCTGAGAAATTTTGGGAATGTGTTGTAAGGGCCATCAGGCATCTTCCTAGCAATTTTCAAGCAATTTCATATTTTGGCCAAAATTGAAAAAAATGCAAGGGGTTAGCCTTACTTTTTTATCAAATTTTGGTCAAAAATTGACTTTTCTGGAAACGACCTAGAAACACGTTAGGAGAAATGATTAGAATATTTTCATCATTCTTAAGTGAAAATTTTGAAAATTTGGGCAAATATAAAGGATTTTTGTCAGAAAAATTAAAAAAACAATTAATTTTTCCAATTTTGTGGACGCCAAATTTCCCTTCAACACCACATATGGCCTGAGAAATTTTGGGAATGTGTTGTAAGGGCCATCAGGCATCTTCCTAGCAATTTTCAAGCAATTTAATATTTTGGCCAAAATTGAAAAAAATGCAAGGGGTTAGCCTTACTTTTTTATCAAATTTTGGTAAAATTTTAATGCACCTCAAAATGGAATTCTTTGAAACTTGCTAAAGAATATCTCAGGGACCCTAGAATACATTCCAATTGCATTTGTAGAAAGATATGCTTTTCCAAAGAAAATCTGGACGAAAATATGGGGTAAAAAAAGTCAAAAATGTCAATTAATTTCTCACAAAATCGATGGTTTTTGGCCAAATTTTTAAAAAAAAAATTAGGTGTTGGAGTATTGATTAGTGCTCCTCTGACTTCCTAATACATTTCTGCATTGTTTGGAGAAAAGTCAATTTTTGGCCAAATTTTGATAAAAATGTAAGGCTAATCCCTTGCATTTTTTTCAATTTTGACCCAAAAATGGAATTCCTTGAAACTTGCTGGAAAGATGCCCAAGGGACCATAGATCACATTCCAATTCCATTTGTAGAAAGATATGCTTTGCCAAAGAAAATTTGGACGAAAATATGGGGTAAAATCAGTCCAAAATATTAATTTATTTCTCACAAAATTGATGATTTTTACCCAAATCATTAAAATACTGCGTGTTTGAGTATTGATTAATGCTCCTCCGACTTCCTCAGGCATTTCTGCATTGTTTGGAGAAAAGTCAATTTTTAGCCAAATTTTGATGAAAATGTAAGGCTAACCCCTTGCATTTTTTTCAATTTTGACCAAAAATTGCAATTCTTTGAAACTTGCTAGAAAGATACATAAGAGACCCTTGAACACATTCCAATTCCATTTGTAGAAAGATATGCTTTTCCAAAGAAAATTTGGACGAAAATTTGCGGTAAAATCAGTCCAAAATATTAATTTAGTTCTCACAAAATCGATGGTTTTTGCCCAAATCCTCAAAATAATAGGTGTTTGAGTATTGATTAGTGCTCCTCTGACTTTCTAATGCATTTCTGTATTGTTTGGAGAAAAGTCCATTTTTGGCCAAATTTTGATAAATATGTAAGGCTTACCCCTTGCATTTTTTTTCAATTTTGACCCAAAAAAGGAATTCTTTGAAACTTGCTAGAAAGATACATAAGGGACCTTAGAACACATTCCAATTGCATTTGTAGAAAGATATGCTTTTCCAAAGAAAATTTGACAAAAATGTCAATTAATTTCTCACAAAATCGATGGTTTTTGCCCAAATCCTCAAAATAATAGGTGTTTGAGTATTGATAAGTGCTCCTCTGACTTCCTAATGCATTTCTGCATTGTTTGGAGAAAAGTCAATTTTTGGCAAAATTTTGATAAAAATGTAACCCCTTGCATTTTTTTTCAATTGTGACCCCAAATTGGAACTCCTTGAAACTTCCTAAAAAGATACATAAGGGACCCTAGAACACATTCCAATTGCATTTGTAGAAAGATATGCAAGAAAATTTGGACGAAAATATGGGGTAATATCAGTCAAAAATGTTAATTAATTTCTCACATAATCGATAGTTTTTGCCCAAATCTTCAAAATATGGGGTGTTTGAGTATTGATTAGTGCACCTCTGACTTTCTAATGCATTTCTGTATTGTTTGGAGAAAAGTCCATTTTTGGCCAAATTTTGATAAATATGTAAGGCTTACCCCTTGCATTTTTTTCAATTTTGACCCAAAAATGGAATTCTTTGAAACTTGCTAGAAAGATACATAAGGGACCCTAGAACACATTCCAATTGCATTTGTAGAAAGATATGCAAGAAAATTTGGACGAAAATATGGGGTAATATCAGTCAAAAATGTTAATTAATTTCTCACATAATCGATAGTTTTTGCCCAAATCTTCAAAATATGGGGTGTTTGAGTATTGATTAGTGCTCCTCTGACTTCCTAAGGCATTGTTGCATTGTTTGGAGAAAAGTAAATTTTTGGCAAAATTTTGATAAAAATGTAAGGGAAACCCCTAGTAATTTCAAGAATAATCCTGTAAAAATTATCTAAAGAACTCTCACCTTATACAAAGAATACCACAGTACAATATATTTATGCACTCCATCAAAAAATGCATATTTTAATGGTTAATGCGAGTATAAAAAGGTACATAATATGGAAACTATTTCTGCATTCTAAAAATGAAACGAACAAAAGTTGCAATATTACAGTATATAGTACATAGGAATAATATAATGTGATTTTAACCCCAAAAAGACGAGTTGACAGGTAAACTGTTTCGTAAAATAATAAACGATAACACAAATGTAACTTAACTGTCATCAGTTGCATCAAAGCAAAAATAAGCTGAACTCGGTTTTTAACCTCCGACCTATGAAAACCCGCACTGCGCCCCCTATCAACCAAGCTATCCAACCCTATCTCCAGCAGTTTCCAAATCAGACTTGTAGTAGTCCACCGAACAGGCCAATCACGTATCAAGGATATATAAGGCCCCGCCCACTGCATACGTGACCACATACGTGCCCATATTATACAGCTCTATGGCCCATATGCAGATCAGTGACGTGCCCCTCTCTGGATGCGCGCCGTACGCACGTGCATGCGTGTTGGACTTCAGTACGCGCAAGCTGGACATTTCTCACGGTTGTGATTGGTCAAAATATCATGGGGGTGGGGCTTGATGGACGGTGACTGTCACAGATCATTTGAATAGCTAGAGACTCGACTTTCACACAGTGCATTTTTGTAGCGTAGCCATGGATCTGCATTAGTAAGGAACCGGAAGTTAACGCAACTCGAGCGTTTTATCCAATGGGCGCTAGTAAATCAGTGGGGCGCGCGCGTGTATAACTTTTTATAACCAACGACCCGGATAGGGGCTGGACGACTTGTATTAATACTGTAATGGACTTGTGTTGTACCGTACTTTACTACATTCATCCTGAACAATGGTGCAACTGCCATTCAAACTCTACAAATAAAAGCGGGTGTTTTTTAACTGTTTTAAAAGGGTTGGAAAGCTTGTTCTGAATAGATCGATTTCATTTAGCGTCCATTTTTGTGGTGCGTTTTGTTATAAACAACGGATGCACAAGAGGTGTACTCAGTCATGCGTACCCCTGCTGGACAAAAGCACACACCCGAAAGACAGATGCAGCACAAACAATCTACATGTATAAATGTAACTATCAGGTCACACTTATGCAAATTATATTACCCGATGGGGCGTTGTCTGCCAACAAGTTTTCAAAACTTTGTATGATTTCCCCCTAACTTCACATGGAAACCAGCATTCAATTTCATTTGGAACATAAAAAATATCAACAGAGTACATGATGTAATGAAAAAAGTGTCAAACATCAGAAGAATGTACCGTAGAAATCTTTGAATCGTAACACTGGAACGTAACAGGCCTTGCTTCAACAACTCTCCAAATTCAATCTTCCTCCCCAAGCACTTGCACACAGCAAGCTAGCTAGACACAGCTTTGTGCCAACATTTTTGTTTAAAAAACACCTGTTAATTCATGTTAATCGTATACATATTTATATATATAATACAATGCATCGTTTAAAAAAAATTCCAGTACATTACATTAATTGTTTTGTTTTTTGTGAAATCACATCATTACAAAAATCTGTGTACGGAAGCACAAAGTGAATACGTATTTATCATTCAAATCTATGAAGTTAGTTTTCATTTTTTTTTATATTTATATAATTTTTTTCCGTTCATTTAAAGGCTTCAACATCCAAACAAAAAGGCATAGCAGATTTGTGAGCACTTGTTATGCGTGGAATGTGACAGATTTGTTGCATGTTCGTTTTGTAACTGGAAAGTTCCTATAACTTTTTTTTATGCAAAATTCTCTGTGAAAATTAATTGTTGATCTAAACAAAAACAAAAGTGTCATGTTCTTAAACAAGACACGGGTTTTTGAAAAATACTGTCCATGATCTGAACGATAATTGACATAAGCAGGCAGACAATTCAAGGCAACTCGCAACATAAACATAGTTGGCTGGCAAAATGTTATCCTAATTATGCAAATGAGGTGCATTAAATCATGAATATTTAATACATTTGATCAAAGTCTATGTATTATTCAACAGTTAAGTTTAACACTGTGTCCAATCTAATCCAGAAAAACACGTTCCCGTCAAATAACTAAAGTACACTGAATACAGTACATAACGTGAAAGATTTTTGTTGTTTACAAATAATATTTTACAGGTTTTTTTTACAATTTAACTAAACATAATCATGCAGTGAAGTTCTGTTAACAAAATCCCTTGTACAGAAACATTAGTAGTGAAATTAAGCAAGAAAAGTGCTGTATCTGAATGTCAGACGCACCCACAATGCATTGCGCTGCATCAACTGGCCAATCACGTAACGGCACAATCACATCCTTCATTTTCATTGGTTGATGGAAAAAATTCATAGTGGCGCCAACTTTTTGTGTGTGAACAAAATAATATACATTGTATGTGATCTTATTCAGGTTTGTGCAAATAGTGGAATTTGGTTTTTTTTCTAACCATGTTGAAAAACATGTCATGCTTTTCATTCCGAGAAATAAAACTGCGGTTCTAACCAGAACTCAACTTTTGTAAATGAATATTTGTCTAATATATTTAAATAAATACATATAAAGTGTAAAAAAAAAAGCAAAGCAAAGTTCTGTACAAACAATTTACAACCAAATCCTTAAACTGAGGTAAGAGTGAAGAAAATTGTGTGATTGAAATGCCAAATATGTCTTTCTTTTTTAATGACCTAAAACCCCCAAAACGAAACTTGTGTCAAATTTTAATCAAGACAGATGAAAGAATGTAATACTTGTTCACGTACCTTCAATTTCATTTTGAAGTTTCATTTCTATTAGATATTCCTGCTTCACTGCATATCCGCAGGATTCATTTGCTGTTTTTTTTATGAATATCAACGGCAGATAAGTTTCAAGATAAAGAGCCAAAAAGAAAATTAAAACAAGAGAACCACCAAAATAAATCTGAGGCTTGAAGTGGCCCATTGTCAGACTCATTTCGCATGTTTTTCGATGTTTTCAAAGGCTGTCTGATGGACCGAAATTTTGGCAAACATTTCAAGGCACGTAGTGGAATATACATCAGTACAAGATGTTTATGGTTGGACGAGACCAACTTACAAATTACACAAAATCATTTGTTATCTACAGGACTATACAGTATTCATGGAACAAACAATTTGAGCTGTACAAAAGATGTTTTTTGCTATGAATCCACAAGCAATAATTTTGCTGGCTAAAAATATTTGATTTTATCATAATTTGGCTTTGGAAATGGAACAAGAAACCTTGTCAACGCCTTTCCAAGCTGTTAATTCTTGGAACAATAACGGGAGCAAGTACTGAATATTTTTTTAGTACTGTGGTTAATTTCAATTTTTTTCATTGGCAGTACAAAACATGTTTGAGTTACATTTTTGGTTTGGTGCTTCGTGGCAGAAACAGGAATGACATGATAATCAACTTTAACCCAAAATCTTTTTTTGTAAAGATTTTTTTTTCAACTGAATTCAAATGCTTAAATATGCCTTTTTCTGATTTCACCCTAATGATGATATTTTTTTTAAACAAACATTTCTTACGCATTCTTCCAAACGGTAAAACAGAAAGACACATCAGGAAACAGTCATAACTCCGTTTAACAAATCGTGGTGAATATTTCTCCCGTACTTTACAGAATAGCATCCATGGCAACAATGAATGCATATAATAACACCACATTTTTTTGGTCCCGTTTTTGTACCGGAGTTTAGAATTAGCTCCGTGATCAGACGCGAGCTGCGTCGTAGCCCGCGTCGTGGTCCAGACCCGATTCGGAGTAGTGCATGCGGCGTTCCGACCGACTCTTGTGCTTCAGCGAACCGTAATCCTCCCGGTAGTCACGATCCCGGACGTGGTCGATACTCTGCGATGACGTCATGCGGGGCCGGCGTTCATGCTCCGGGTAGTGATTGGATGTGGGGCCGTTGGCGTACCCCTTGTGATTGGACGAGGAGGGAGGGGGATGGTGGTTGCTGTCGTAGTGATTGTCCTGGCGGTGACGGTCGTGGTCCGACTGGTAGCCGCTTTCCCTGGTGCCCCGGTTGTAGGTCTGGTTGGGGTCGCTGGGAGGTCGCCTGCGTGCTGGTCTACAGAGAGGTAAAAAGTGTACATCAACTTATGTATGCAAGAAATTCAAATGGAGGAAGCACTCCAATAAGGGGAATATGGACTATGTGGCACATGCTTTAAATAAACAGCGCCATCTTTTGACAGCTTATGGCAAAGAAGTAGTCAAGTCAAATAGCAGGTCAATCACAAGTCAAATCACAGTTTCAGTCATGACAAATGATAAAGGGATGCCTTTCTACAGTACATTTCAATAGCTTGTGAATTGAATTGACAATAGATTGTAATAGATTTTTTAAGACTTAATAACAACTCTGACGCAAAGTTACCCTATCTCACCTGCCCAGACTTCCATAGCCATACTTGTCCCCTGGGGGCGGGCTCCGATGCCGCTCCCGCCCGTCCCGTCTCCCGTCGTGCCAGCCATCTTCCCTCCGGTGATCCCTCCCATCACCGGTTCCCCGTTCCCGTTCCCCGCGGTGTCTGCGGTCCATTGTATCTCCGCGTCTGTCCTCGTGATGCCTGGCATCCCGCCTCGGGTCATCTCTGCGATCTCGTCTCGGCTCTGCGTTCCTCTCCTCCGACTTCTCCTCTTCCGATGACACTTTCTCATCCTTGTCTTTGGACTTACCATCTTTTGAATTACTCTTGTCTTTTTTCTTTGTGTCCTTTTCCTTTTCTTTCTCTTTCTTCTTTTCCTTATCACTTTTCCTTCTGGTCATCTTGGGTTCTTCCTTGTCCTTTTTATCGGTCTCCTTAGCCTTGGACTTGTCAGATTTCTTATCCTTGCTCGCCTTGTCGCTGTCTTTGCGTTTGAGAGTCTCTTTGCCCTTGGTAGCGTCGCTGTCTTTGCGACTCAGGGTTTCGCTCTCCTTGCGCTTGCGCTGGGCATCGCTGTTGTTGACTTTGTCAGGATCGTTGTGTTTCCTGGCAGTGTCCACCTCATGCCTGTCTTCCCTTCTGTCATCCCTTCTGTCCGCCTTTCTGCCATCGGGTCTGTCGCCGTGCCGGTCATCGCGATACCGATCCTCACGGTGTCGGTCGTTGCGATACCTGTCCTCTTGGTGTCGGTCGTCATAATAGCGATCATTTCGGGACCTGTTGTCGTCGTACCTCCGGTCACGCGGTCTGTCATCCTCTTGATACCTCTTGTCCCGAGGTTGGATCTCTTGATATCGCTCCTCGCGAGGTCGATCCTCCCGGTGTCTGTCATCTCGGTGTCTATGCTCACGTTCTTTCTTTCCATCCCGATACCAATCATCCCCGTTCCTGTCCTCCCGGGCATGATCCCGCTGTCTGTCCCCATCCACACTCTCATAGATTTTGTTTGGCGACCGCTTTGGCATATTACGGTCTGGCGGGTCCCGCCTTTCCACTGACGCATAAGGATGTTCATCCTGGACTTGTTTAACCCTTTCGCGTTCCAGAGTCTTCTCACCGCGCCTGTCTCTGGCAGACGGCTCAACGTTTTTGTCGGGGCGGGGTCTACGGGCGACAGAGGCATAGTGAGGTTCATTGTGGACGTCGGCTGTGGTGCGCGACTCCCGATTCCGGTCCTTGTCCGTGTTACCTCGCGGCTCATTACGAGACCGGGACTCCATGTAAGGAGGGACACTGTGTCGACCGTAGCGATGTCTGCTCTCGCCTTCGCCGTTGTCTCGCCTGTCTTCCTGTCTCTCATCCCGATTGCCGTGGGGATATTCGTCTCGTCTGTCGGGCCATCGGTTGTCGTCTTGGCTGTGGGACCCCCTGCGGTGGTTTCCCTCGCTCTGGCGTTCCCAGCGTTCCTGGTCATGGTTTCTGTATTCTGGGGCGTGTCTGCCCGTCACATCCCGGTGTGGAGAATGAGGTCCAGGACTCTGCAACAGCAAAAGGTATAGAGGCAAATTTCATATTTTGTTGCCTTCAAGAAAAAGTTCTGTGCATGAACAAGTGCTTCAGGTTTTCTTTCAAGAAACGTTACACTTGACGAAGGAGGAATGTGCAACAAGATTGGACACTTAAATAAGACAGGCTGGGGCTTGTGGTTCGGCTCAATCTTAGTGACTGTACAGCTCAATATGTAGACCTTGTTTATCTTTGATTTACATCTCATTCATATGACTTACTTCAGACAAAGACTTCAGGATTTAAAGACACAAAAGTAAATGACAGACAGTAAGTTACTGTGACTTGTAACTTTAACTCCACCTGACGACTTGAGGATTAATGCTTTGGACTTGACAGTGGAACCAGACTTGACCTTCAGTAACCAGAACCAGGACTCGGGGAGTGGTTACAGACACAAATGCAATTGAGAACCTTCTGATTCCCGACTTGCGACTTCAGACTTGGACCTAACGCTGAATCACGTAGGCTTCAGCTTGGACGAGTCGGGCTTGCAATTCATGACTCCAAATTCAGATGCTGCCTCAGAGAGGGTTAAAGGACACAAAAGTGATTACCTATCCTTGGAGTTTATGCTTAATCATCATAGACTTGCCTTTCAGGCTTAAGGACCCAAAATCTGCCTCAGAGAGGATTCCAGGGCGAAGATGTCCGAGAACACAATTAAAAAAACCCACCCTTGGGGACGTCGGGGAGCCGTCACCATACCCCTCATCCTTATCACCACCCCCTTCATCATCATCATCATCATCGTCTTCATCATCGTCACGGTAACGCCCCTGCCTCTCCCGATGGTCTCGTTGGTACCGCTGTCTCAGCTCCTGCATCCGCTCGGCCTTATGCCGCGCCTCCTCGCTCTCTTCCTTGTGACTTCTGACGCTCCGCTGCTCCCGGAGTTTGCGTACCTCCTCCTGGATGCGGGAGCTGTAAAGTGGGATGGACCAATTGAGAATTAATGACCAACTAGGAATGGACCAAATATGAACGGGTAAACACGAACTTTAGTCTCTTCGCTTCGCTTTCCTTGTGGCGTTGGAGGTTCTGCTGCTCACAGAGTTTGCGTACTTCTCCTTTTTTGCGAGAGCTGGAAAGTGGGATGGACCAATTGAGAATTAATGACCAACTAGGAATGGACCAAATATGAATGGGTAAATATCAACTTTTGTTATATTGTTTTGCCCTTCTGCTTCTGGCGTTTGAGGTTCTGCTTCTCCTGGAGTTTGCGTACTTCTTGGATGCAGGAGCTGGAAAATGGCATGGACCAAATGGGAATTGAATGGGCCAAGTAGGAATGGACCCAATTAGGAATTGACCCAATTACGAATATACCAATTATGAATGGGACATTTTGAACTTATGCTGTTCTTGAAGTGACGTTTACTGCTCGCAGACATTTCGCACCTCCTCTTGATTGCGGAGCTAGAAAGTGGGATGGATAAGCCACATGGTCTCACAACAACGGACACGTGTAAGTGTAAACAAGGAGTGACATCATAATGTCGCAGGTCTGTTAGAACAGAGCAGACTTTTCTCCCGAATGGGAGTTGATAAGCAGCCTTTTAGCAACTCTATAGCCAGAGAGAATGAAGTTCTTACTTTTGTTCCTCTTGTTGCTCTTTGTATTTCTCCATATCCTCTTTGGATTTGTCGGAGGACACTGACGTACTCCTGTCCCGTTCCTCCTCGCCTGGTTTGCCGTCCCGCTCCGGCCTGCGATGCTTGCCGAATCTACAGCGATGACACAAACATGAGAAACAGTTGGACTCTGTTTATTTGTGGTGTGCCTAATCCCACGTAAAGCACAGTCAGTTTACTAGTGCAGTACTCATCAAAACAGATTCCAACAAAATCTGGTGTTGGAGTTTGGCCGGTTGGGGATCGTTAGGGTTAATGGGATTACGGGGGCTAAGTCAGTAGGCTGGTCAACCAAAAACTTCTCATGACCCTGGTTCGATTCTAGCCAAGTTCACACTTTCGTTTTAGTTTTTATTTACTAAACTATGACAGCATTCTCCCGACTATACACATGTGTGTCAGTTCAAATGAAAGTCAACAGAATTTTTTTTTTTTTCGGTTTTTTTTTTCCACTTATTTTCACCTATTTTTGTGTGAAGTCTCCACCTTGTGCTTGGCAAATTTCCTAAAAACAATATTTCCTGAAAACAATAATAATAAAAATATTACACAAATTTGACTATATGATACCTGAACATGGATCCGAAGCCCTTGAAGCCACCAGATTTCCTTTTGTCTTTTTCCTTCTCTTTCTTGTTGTTCTTCTTGGAGCTGTTGGTTCGATTCATGATGACGGGGTCGTGGCTACTGACCGAGGAGTGGTCGTCGCGGGACGAGCGGTCATCCCTGACCGGCGCGTGGCCGTTCTCTTTCACTGTAATTGACAATCGCAAAGGACGGATGAATGAATGGTCACAATTTCATAAAGGTGCTGCAACAATTCCATTTTGGGGTTGCAAAAAGACGTGAATCCAATACGTTGACGTGAACATTTTTTTACCACTGTTAATTTTTTTAATTAATTTGAGTTGCTGAAATGCTTCAATACTTCTGACATTTCAACATTTTAACTTATTCCCCCCAAAAAATTACATTGTAATGGTGGTATTCAAAAATGTGGTATTAACAAAGCATTCAACTGAGTGGAGACGAAGGCGTTCTTTTATTTTGTTTTCCCTGTAACTTGTTGACTGGACTTTTAAACTGAGTTGTGATTTGGTTGTGACCACACTCGTGATGTAACTTGTTGCTCGTCATCGGATTTTTATGAATACTTGAACTGCGGTACCCGCTGCTACTACATGTACATAAGATTCAAACCAGCCAACCGATCCCGTTAGCTCGGTGGTCGAGTGGTAAGACGTCTGCACTAGGAAGCAGGAGGTCGTGGGTTTCGAGTCCCATCCAAGTGATTTTTTCCCAACTTTCACTAGGGAGGTAACACACTGAGTATACAGTGTTTTTACTTCGGTTAGGCCAAAAAAAAAAAACATTCGGTCTCTGGTCAGACCAAAGTTCCGGAATTGACGCGGCCACACGGCTTTTTTTTTTTTTTTTGCTTTTTTTTTTTTTCTTCAAGCTTGGATTGTACAGACAAGGTGGGTACTATTTTGCTTTTTTGGTGTCCTCATGTACATTGGTGTCCTCCATAATTTGCCTTGGTGCTTTCGATCATTTGCCTTGGTGCAATTTCCCATTTCTTGGTGCTCTTTGGTAAAAAAAAATTGAGGAGGTACGGAAATAGAGGGCGCTGTTGGAGCTACCGCGGAACATTTTGAAAAAAAAAAGAAGATTGACGTGCATGATTAAAATCGACGCGCGCGCTGACCAGAGACCGACTTATTTTTTTTTTTTGGCCTTAAGGGCAAAAACCTAATTTCGATTTACAGCAGCCCAACGCAATTTCATCTTTTTCATCTTCGACTACATCACTAGGTTTTAGCTGACTTAGCAGAGGACTATTTTTCAAGTAGTCATTCTATAAATTTGGGGTCCCGTTAGGGTGACATTTTCTAGTCCCTGTTACCACGTATAACTTCAAAACGACTTTTGATTTGTTGGGTAATAGTCTACAATTCAAAATCACCCTTGCAAGACAACTGCATTACAGAGTGCATCAGAATTATAAAACAGATAGATGTCAGGTGTCTTTTACCTGAATCCATGGAGGTAGAATTGACGGCACTCCCGTTGAGCGGCTGGTCGTACGACCGGTCCACCGCCGCCCGGAAGCTCTCATTGCAGCCGCGACCCCGCACGACCTTCGCCCTGGGTCGGGTCGGGCGGTCATCCCGGGTCGTAACCTCGGCGACGGCCGCCTGCAGGCTCTCCAGGGAGCTGTTCTTCTTCAGGCCTAGGGAGGGGCCGATGTCCCTGCGTTCGTCGGCAGTTACTGGAGAAAATCACATACAATCCGATTTTTTAAAACTTTGGAGTTGCCCTAATGAGCATCCATGAAAATGTATACAGAACATTTTCCCAATGAATTCCATTTTGTCTAATGGAAGCTCATCGGAACTATAGGGGAACTACATGTATGTGACAGAGGGGTGGTTACCCCTTCCCCCCCCCCCAAATGTCCCTATACCCTAGACACCCTACATTATTGCTACCTAGCACCCCCCCCCCCCCCCTCCCTACCTAGCACCATCCCCTAACATCCCCCCTAGATATCTCAAAAGAATTACTGAGATTCTGGTGACACAATGACCAACACAAAAGAGGGGGGGGGCCCTCTGTCACATATCTTGCTCAATATGACAGTCTTTGAGCAACGGGTCCCCGATATCACCGAGATTCAATCAGACAATTTGTGAGAAACTTCTTAGCAACTTTTCCTTGAATATTGTCGAGACTGCTCTTGTACTATAGAGTACAAATGGACATTAAGGCAACTGTACAGGTAAAGCAGGAGGTTGTGGGTTCGAGTCCCACCTGGGTGAGTTGATAAAAAAAAAAATTCTTGCAGACTCTCAGACAGAACTATACAGTGCTTCTCAAGAAATATATTGGGAAGACACTGACAGCTTTCATGAGCAGTTACAATGAGGCGGCAAAGCGCCCTCTAGTGTCACTACAGAAAGTGCAAACAGCAGCTTAAACCGTAATTAAGCTTCAAATGCTTAATAATTTAACAAGTTTGCTTTGGACAACAGCCAGCATGCATAATGGCTGTATAAAACCGATTTGGACAATTAGGAATGCAATTCTGCTCTGGTCTTAACCGTGCAGGGATCATCTCAGAGTCAGTAAATTTTTCAACAGTAAATGCCTGTACACTGTGTGTACAGCAGGTTCATAGGTCAATTATCGCTAAATCCATTATACAATATACATTATGCCATTTACTCCTGGCTCAAATAATCTCCCTTTTATTAATGGTCTGTATTATGACCATAATGGGTCACTTACGGTGTAAGGAGGGAGCCAGTTTGACTGGGGCACGATTAAACAAGGACAACTGCTAGCACTGGTCAATCAGGCATATTAGGAATTCTGAATTATTACATAGGATTAGGCCAAAAAAATAAAAATAGTCGGTCTCTGGTCAGACCGAGGTTCCGGAATTGATGGGCGACGCAGGGTTTTTTTTGTGGGTTTTTTTTGCTTTTTTTTTTTTCAAGCTTGAATTGTCCAGACAAGGTGGGTACTATTTCGCTTTTTTGTGTCCTCATTATACATTGGTGTCCTCCATAATTTGCCTTGGTGCCCTTTATCATTTGCCTTGGTGCAATTTCCCCATTCCTTGGTGCTCCTTGGAACAAAAATTTGAGGAGGCGCAGCAATAGAGGGCGCAGTTGTAGCTTCCGTGTTAATTTGAAGGGAAAAAAAGGTTGACGCGCATGATTAAAATCGACGTGTGCGCTGACCAGAGGCCAAAAAAAGTCGGTCTCTGGTCAGCGCGGGCATCGATTTTAATCATGCGCGTCGATCTTTTTTTTTTCCAAAATGTTCCGCGGTAGCTCCAACAGCGCCCTCTATTTCCGCATCTCCTCAATTTTTTTTTACCAAAGAGCACCAAGGAATGGGAAATTGCACCAAGGCAAATGATCGAAAGCACCAAGGCAAATTATGGAGGACACCAATGTACATGAGGACACCAAAAAAGCAAATAGTACCCCACCTTGTCTGTACAATCCAAGCTTGGAAAAAAAAAAAAAAGCAAAAAAAAAAAAAAAAGCCGCGTGGCCGCGTCAATTCCGGAACTTTGTTCTGACCAGAGACCGAATATTTATTTTTTTTTTGGCCTAGAGACCGAGTATTTATTTTTTTTGGCCTTAACTCTAAATTTTGTACTTTTTGGGAGGTGAATTTAATATATATTTTTGGGTGGCTGAGTGAGTTCGACCGACATGCAATCAAGTACAAAGGGAAGGTTATTTCGGCAGTACAAACCTACAATGGAGTAAAAAGTATCGAAAATTTTGTTTAATTTCAGGCATGCAACTGGGAATTTAGAAAAAAAACGCGGAAATTCCAAACCACACAAGACTTTGTACAGTGTTTTTTTTTTCAATTTGTAATGGCATTCATGAGAAGTAAAAAACAAGGAAATCAGCGGATCCGAGGAAAAGCTGCATGCCTGTAATTTCCAAAACTTTAAAAATTGTGAACTTACGACGGTGCATGGAAGACAGGTTAGCAGTGTCGGCTAGGTTGTCGGTGGAGCTGGATTTGACGAGGCTACCGGTACTGATTCCGATATCTGGGGAAACAACACAGACACAAACAAACAGACAAGCACAGAATTGGTTAATGATGAATGCATACGCGCATGCAGGTTACTCATGGTCAGGGGCCAATTTCATAGAGCTGCTTAAGCACAAAATTTGCTTAAGCACAAAAACGTCTTGCTTAATAAAATCATGTTACCGGCTAAAACTCCATGCGATTTGTTATGCTAAGTAAACAACAGCTAAATACCAGTCACAAGCAATGTACATCACATGGAGTTTTGGCAGGTAACCTAATTTTACTAAGCAATGTTTTTTCATGCTTAAGCAAGTTTTGTGCTTAAGCAGCTCTATGAAATTGGGCCCAGGCATGCAACTGTGAATTTAGAAAAAACGAGGGAACTCGGGAAACCACACGGAAATTTGCACAGTTTTTTTCAATTTGTAATGGCATTCATGAGGAGTAAAAAACAAGGAAATCAGCGGATCCGAGGAAAAGTTGCATGTCTGCATACATGTAGTAAAAATTGTGAGTGTCAAGATTAGTATTGTACATACATTGTATATTGTAAATATAAGATTTGAAGGTTTGCATGGTCAAGATACAAATGTACCAGTGCGATGGTCCACTGGTAACCAGTGCGATGGTCCACTGGTTACCAGTGCGATGGTCTACTGTTACCAGTGCGATGGTCCACTGGTAACCAGTGCGATGGTCCACTGGTAACCAGTGCGATGGTCCACTGGTAACCAGTGCGATGGTCCACTGGTTACCAGTGCGATGGTCCACTGGTTACCAGTGCGATGGTCCACTGGTAATCAGTGCGATGGTTCACTGGTAACCAGTGCGATGGTTCACTGGTAACCAGTGCGGTGGTCCACTGGTAACCAGTGCGATGGTCCACTGGTAACCAGTGCGATGGTCCACTGGTTACCAGTGCGATGGTCCACTGGTAACAAGTGCGATGGTCCACTGGTAACCAGTGCAATAGTTCACTGGTAACCAGTGCAATGGTTCACTGGTAACCACTGCGGTGGTCCACTGGTGACCAGTGCGATGGTCCACTGGTATCCAGTACGATGGTCCACTGGTAACCAGTGCGATGGTCCACTGGTAACCAGTGCGATGGTCCACTGGTAATCGGTGCGTAGTCTACTGCGCATGCTTATTTATCCTGTGCGTGAAACCTAGCGTGCGTGCTTGGTAAACAACAAAACTAGCGGCTGACACGTGATGTTGAATGGACCAGTGAGAACTCGGCTCTCGATCACGAATACTATGAATGCATGAGATACAGAGGGATCTCAATAGGTCATACATCAGGGACATTGGCTCAAATTTTGAGTTAAGCAGAGTTTTGAGTTATCCAATTGATTTTTTATTCAACAACAATTGATGGGAATCAGTTTTTACTTTGAGTTAGAAGGGCTTTTAAATTAACAGGTTTTGACTTATCGAGATTTCACAGTATATGGTAAAACTGACTGACTGACTTCATAAATAAAATTCCGCAGGCTGATCATCTTTTGTTTATTTATTTTAATACATGTATCTATTATTTCGACAACATCCAACTGTGCTAGCGCCAGAACAGGATGGATAAGACTTGGGAGAAGACGTAGAAGAAAATAACAGTTTTAGTGGTGGGAGGAAAACCCCAGAATGATATTCTAGGGAAAAGCCCACGGAATCAGGTAGGGACATAAAAACCCAATCATGTCGTGCGTCAATGCAGATTTGCTTCAGTGAATTAATCCGGTCCTCATGGAGGTGTAATGGCTTTTGCAAGTGGGATCGGATGACAAGCTCTAAAGAATTATGTCAACCTACATTGTGGAAAAAAACTTTCAGACTATTTTACTTGAAGTCAATTTTATCCTCAAAGATATGTCAATTTTACTCCCTCAACTGCAAATTTTTACTCATAAATATCAGCAGTCAAAGCTTTGTATATAAAGAATGGTACAACTGTGTACTTTACAACACATAACTTCAATAATGCAAGAGTCAGTTATGCAAAAGCTAATTATGTAAAAGTAGCATACATTATTGAGTACACTCCATGTATGCTTGTTAATAACATTGCCATAAATCCTGTCTCAAAACATCACAATATCGTATCAAATTGCAACATCGCCATGACAACTGCAACAATCTCATTACTTCATCGCCTGTTCCCAATTTCAAGGGATTTGGAATCGCTGATGAAACTGTCTTTGCTAGTCTTATACAACCGTGGATCAAAAAAAAAATCATCCAGGGACAATTTTTCATGACTGCGAAATGATGCGAGCGTGCCTGGACATGTTTTTTTGTAGACGCTTTCTAATCTACGGCACGAAAATGTCATACATTAAACCCTAACCCCCTAGGCCCTTGTTGCTTACAACCATCCTCAATCCTCCAAAATCCTCCAAAATTTTGCAACTCCGCCTAAATTTTTCAAAATTGTCAGACAGTCCTGCCACAAAATGCATTCATCCTCAATCCTCCAAAATCCTCCTCATCCCAAAATTTTGCACTCGTGTTTAAATGAAGGATAACCCAACGCCAAATCCTTCAAAATCATCAGACAGTCCTGCCTCAAAATGCATTCATCCTCAATCCTCCAAAATCCTCTTGTGCTGCAATCACCATTCATCCTCAATCCTCCAAAATCCTCATGTGCTTCAATCACTATTCATCCTCAATCCTCCAGAATCCTCATTTGATTCAATCACCATTCATCCTCAATCCTCTAGAATCCTCCAAAACCGCCAGGAGGATTTTGGAGGAGTGAGGTGGGTTAGGGTTAAAAATGTGGCGTAAGGTGTCAAATTAATCAAACGTGCAAGCACTTTTCCACTGAAAAATGTTTATCTTTACAGAATTTAAAAATTCAGCAAATCAGAATTGTGAGGGAAGGTTATATCTTATCAGAACAAAAACTACTTAGCGAAAGTTGATAATAAGCAGGACAAGTTCTTTTCAGAACTAAATATCTTCTAAGCAGTAGTTATTACCACATGGCGTTACCGCAAACCGAAACGATAGGTTATATCTTGTTGCCAAGATTTCAGGTCTTTCATAATAAATAGAAAAATGCCATGCACTTCATTACATTGGAGAACTCTTACATGCACAACAATATCTGCAACAACCTTGCAATAGATCCATCCACCAAAAAAGCAATTACAGGTATAGGCCAGAGGGTGAATTGAAAGATGCTACTATGATTGCTACCGTAATTTGACACAGAATCCGACAAACAAGTTCCTTGAAAAAAAAAATTGAATGATTCTGCAGTCGTTTGATTTCAAACGGAGCGAACTCTCACACTGCTGGCTAGAGCAGATCTGTAAAATTGAGGAGCTGACTTTTCAAACAATTTTCTACAAAAAAACACACACAAACACTTGAGCACAGATATTGCCAAAACAATGAAAACAGGTACCCTATTAACGAATAAGTATAAAGGGTAAGAGAATACAAACCCTTGAGAAGAGAAGTGGCTCGTTGAATGTTATTTCGGTATTTTTTTTTTTATAAATGTAACAAGCGTTCACAGCTGGACCCGGGATATATCTATTCTTTTATGAATTTCCAAATTTTATTACTGACAGGAACAATGGATTTCATGTTTGCCTTCTCGGTATGGGTTTACAAACTTTGATACAACGTACAGCATACGTGCGAGACAAAGTCGCATTTCAGATAAAACAATCAGCGATACGAATCTCACTTTCAAGTCAAAGCAATCATAACTTTATATCTGCGTAAGAATAATTTTTTTCCTTGGAGATTGTATCTCCTACTCTACAATTGTTTTATTTTTAGCCCAACCGCTGTTAGATAGTTCACACCCAGGGATGTGGGGGGGGGGGGCTATAAAAAGAATGGAATTAACTGGCAAGAGTTTTATGTGTGTGTTTTTTTCTTTTTCATGTTAGCACATGGAAAATGTTCTTTCCATTGCAAAAATATTTTTTTTTTTTCCAATTTCTGTTCATGTTATACAATCAATTCAATGAGACATATTTTATTAACTTGACAAAGCACTACACTGACAATAATATGAAATGACACCCAACATGACACACAGAACAAAGGGAAGCAATATATCAACTGCACAATCACAGCCCCAGGAGCCGGACGACAGAGTTGGCAGGAAAACAGGCCACGCAAAAAAAAAAACAAGATTAAGTCTTTGACCCGAAGCACCTGCTTCCAAATCTAGCGATAAAGGAAAAATTGACTCACCGTCGACAAGATAACAAGACAAATTTGATATTCAAGATAATTCTTTTCCTTCAAATAAAGGTGAATAATTCCTTAAAAGCACCTGTCTGTAGTGACAATATTGCCTGTGGAAAGCCCCTCGGGTATTGACACCAGAAGGACCCACTGTATTAAAAAACAGCCAGCTAGAACAAGTTTTAAACAAAACAAGTAACGTCTGTCACTAGCCAATGTGACCTATCAGGCCGACGTTTTTCTCCCATTTCAGTAGCATGAAACGACTGAGAATATTTATATTCCCCCGGGACGAGATGCTAGTCCATCACAGGTTACTCCCCAGCTAATTAATGCCGGTGGCCATTTATACTCCTGGGTGGAGAGAGTGGGGGTGAAGTGGCTTGCCCAAGGACACAACATATGACCAGCAGCTGGATTCGAACCCCTGAACCTCTGATCACGAGTCACGAACCCTAACCATTAGGCTAAACACCCCCAGCTAGTACAAGCCAGATCTTACTCAGACTAAAAACCCAGTCCATGGCCAATTTTAATTGACCTGCATAAAAATTGTATGTGCAGGCAACCAGTCACACGGACATATTAATTGTCCATTAATTATGTATTTTAAAAAACACGTAGTTGACCTAGCAGGTCATAGGGACAATGACTTAAAGGTCGATCACGGACTCTAAACAGGTATGTTGAGGTAATGTTCAGATCCGCTTCAGCGTTTTTAAAGTCTTCACTGCCAACTTGAATATCAATCAACTGAAGCACCTGTAATATTTCCATCAATCAATTATCCAATGGAAA